TCCTGGGAATTCCTGGGAATTCCGGGAATTCCGGGAATTCCGGGAATGGCGGCATCTCCAGGTTCGGGAATTTGGGGGATCCCGGTACTTGGGAATGTTGGGATGACTCGGATTGGGAATTTTGGGATCCCGATCTTTGGGAATGTTGGGATCACGAGTCTTGGGAATTTTGTGATCCCGGTATTTGGGAATTTTGGGATCCTGATCTTTGGGAATTTTGGGATCCCAATCTTTAGGAATGTTGGGATGATGAGCCTTGGGAATTTTAGGATCCCATAATTTTGGGAATTTTTGGGATCCCGATCTTTGGGAATGTTGGGATTTGATTCCTGGGGAATTTTGGGATCCCAGAGCTCGGGAATTTTGGGATACCCCTAGTTGGGAATTTTGGGATCCCAATCTTTAGGAATGCTGGGATCATGAGCCTTGGGAATTTTGGGATCCCGTAGTTTGGGAATTTTGGGATCCCGGTATTTGGGAATTTGGGATCCTCCTAGTTGGCAATTTTGGGATCCCAGTGCTCGGGAATTTTGGGATCCCGATCTTTGGGAATGTTGGGATCATGGGCCTTGGGAATTTTGGGATCCCAGTATTTGGGAATGTTGGGATTTGATTCCTTGGGAATTTCAGGATCCTCCTAGTTGGCAATTTTGGGATCCCAGTGCTTGGGAATTTTGGGATCCCGATCTTTGGGAATGTTGGGATCATGGGCCTTGGGAATTTTGGGATCCCGCAGTTTGGGAATTTTGGGATCCCGGTATTTGGGAATTTTGGGATCCTGCTCTTTGGGAACGTTGGGATCCCATAACTTGGGAATTTTGGGATCCCAGTGCTCGGGAATTTTGGGATCCTGATCTTTGGGAAGGTTGGGATCATGAACCTTGGGAATTTTGGGATCCCGTAGTTTTGGGAATTTTGGGATAGCGGTATTTGGGAATTTTGGGATCCTGCTAATTGGGAATGTTGGGATTTGATTCCTTGGGAAATTCAGGATCTCTCTACTTGGGAATGTTGGGACTTGACTCCTTGGGAAATTCAGGATTTGATTCCTTGGGAATGTTGGGATTTGAATCCTTGGGAATATAGGGATCTCTCTACTCAGGAATTTCAGGATTTGATTCCTTGGGAATGTTGGGACTTGATCCCTTGGGACTGTTGGGATTTGATTCCTCGGGAATTTCGGGATCTCTCTACTTGGGAATGTTGGGACTTGATTCCTTGGGAACGTTGGGATTTGATCCCTTGAGAATTTCGGGATCTCTCTACTTGGGAA